CCAAAATATAGGCTAGCTCACCATGCGTATAAAAACCATGAAAGTTATCTTTGGATTTAAGTCTCACTTTCCCGAATTCTCAGTCATAGTACATAACTAGTTCAGGCGGAGCAGGATTGGTGGTAATTGTATTGTTCATAAGATCCAGTAATTCTGTGATGGTTGTATAATTCCCCTGAGGCAGTCTATACCTCCATTTTTTAGTCCCAGTAATGATTTTGAAAGGTGTGTCTTCGTTGATGTTGTTCCAGCTGTGCGGTTATTGTATTTCTGCTAACCCTATCTCTCAGTTCCCCAGCAGATCCAGAGGTTTAACCAGTTGTATGGTGAAGCTCAAGCTGGTGTTCTGTGGAAAAATGCTGGCTCATGCGTTGCTGGGCAAAGTAATGTAAAAGTCGCCATAACACATCTCGGCCTTCTGACTGAGGTAACCCCTATATATTACAAACTGGGTTGTCTTCCACCCAGCTGTTAAATTTAGATGGCCACCCCAACCATTTCACCAACAACCACTTCTTTCTTCTCTTTCCTTTCATTGCTAGAACTTTTTCAACCCTGTAAACTCTGCCCTTTTTGGGGTTCACTTTTTGTAGCTCTTCAGGGTAGAAAGAACCCTTGATAGGTTTGTCTTCGTAATCTTTTTGGTGGTATACAGGCATCTGCATGTGTCTAAGGACTTCATCCACTATGAAAACCTCATCAGTGAATATTTGTTCATAACATTTTTCAAACCTCCCTTTGGTCCTAGGCAGTCTCACGTGATCTCCTTTTCTAAACACAGGTGCTGCTGGTTTTATTTTGAAATAGCCCCCATACATGGTTTTCCACACCCTTTGAGAGTTTGAGAAGTTCATGTTAACAGGCCTGGTGCAGATAGTTCTGTGAAAACTGTGGTTGTAGCTCTTTATAAACTCTGGTAACACATCAGTGTAGCGAAAGGTGTTGCGGGCTGTAAAATACTTCCACATCTTTGATTTTAATGTTCTGTTAAACCTCTCTACCACTGCTGCTTTCACTTCACTGTTCATCACAAAATGGTGAATATTATATTGTTTTAACAGCTTGCTTAAAGACTTATTTAAAAATTCTTTTCCCCAATCAGTGTGTAATTTTTGAGGTACATGACCCTCTGTAAAAATGGTTTTAAAGGCCCGAGCTATTTCACCACCTGACTTGCTTTTTGACCCACGGCCCAGGCATACTTTGATAATTTGTCTATCACTGTTAAGATTAACTTAACCCCACTGTTGTGCTTGGAATACTGCTGCATATCCACCAAATCTGCCTGCCATTGAGCATCAATATCTGAAAAAACAGTCTTGTTTCTTTTAAAATGTCTTCTTGCCAGTTTGTGTAGGGTGTAAGCATCCTGATCTGAAAGTCAGGCAGCCACCCCGCTTCTGTTCAGAACCTTATTCTGCCTTTTGGTGGCTTCAAAAACCGTGTTCACCCCACCAAAACTGCCAGCTTCCCCAGGAGAGTAATAAACTTCCTTTAACATAGCCTCCTGTGTAAACATGTCTGGTAACCGCTTCCCCCAACACCCACCCCCATGCTAACACCCGTGTGGTGCATTCAAACGCTTGAGGATGAATTTAAACCATTGCACAAAGATACCCTCTTCCAAATTCTCAACATCTGCTTCAAGGGTCTGGACCTCCTCCATTTGACTGTTCATTGGATCTTCCCAAACAGGGTCAGGCATCTCAGAGAGTGGGCAAGGGGCCATGTCTCCTCCTCAAAACTATTTCTACAGTAATGCTTTCTATAAGGCCATTTTGGGGTTGTAGTGAGTGGGCCTACAGGCATTGTGAAATAATCCATATCTGCCCCAGCTTGCCTTAGCATGGTCTCAGATAAACAGAGGGGTCGTTTGGGAAAGCAGATAGACCCGGTGGGGTTGCCACCCACATCCCCCCCCCTCTACTCATTCCAATTGGTTCAGCATCATTCTTGGGAGGTCAGAGGCCTCTGAAACCTCTGCCAATTGGTTGGGGGTGGTGGGTTGAGTTGTTAGAAGGGTCACACCACCACCCTGCCACCCCATAGGGTATGCCAGTGCTCCGGCGGGGGGCTAGATCAGTTTGGGACCTGATAGGCCATAACTACACCATGTGATCTAAGGCAGTTCTTGGAGCCTAAGGGGTTGGGCTTTGGGAGTCTGCATGGGCTGTCCTTCTGATGTCATGGACTAGGTGGTGCTGGTGTCACACACCACGTGACTGGGTGTGGAGGCAGAGTTGCTGATGTCACTCATCACGTGACTGGGGGTTGGGGCAGGGTTACTGATGTCACACCACGTGACTGTGTGTGGGGGCGGGGTTGCTGATGTAACACACCATGTGACTGGGGTGGGGGCAGAGTTGCTGATGTCACATACCACTTGACGGGGTGGAGTTGATGATGTCACATACCACGTGACTGGGGTCAGAGGGTGGGGCTGGCGATGTCACACACCATACAAGGGGAAAGGGGGCAGGGCTAAGGGGCAGGACTTTTGGTCCCGCCCATCTGTCACATTTGTATTGAAGGGCGGTGAGCCTATATAGTGCAGCTTAATTTTTGCTAAAAGGTGTGTTGTATGTGAAAAAACAGTATGTACAGTAACAACTGTACTGCCTTTATGCAAGGACAGCTAACCATTCTCACATGTGCAGAAACATTCTGCTGTAAATTACCAGATGCGACTGAAGGATGCTCACAATGGTACAAAGGAAGGGTCTTGTTTGGCAGCAGTTTGTTTGTTTGTAGTGTTTAATGCATGTATTAAGCAATTATTTGAATTGTTGCAGTTGAGTATGTAAACATCCCTGGTGGAGAGCTGTTTCATATAGTGGAAATTTTGTAATGGAAACAGATATACTATTCTATAGCCCTCTGCATTGTGAATCATCCTGAAATTAAAGGTCTGGGTACTGTAAACACCCTTTATAACCTGTGGGACTCATGAATTCTGATTACTTGACAAAGAGGCCATGATTTATAGGATATTTTAGCATACATATGATCTGTTGAGCTACTGTCCCAACAGCAACTGTGTAAACTTGGCTCTGTGACTTTTTTGAATGGCAGAAGTAAAGTTGACAGTGGGCTCATCTACACAAGGTGCTTAACTGCACAGTAGCATAGTTTACTGAACAGTAAGCATGCACATCTACATGTGAACATGCTTACTGTGCAGTAAAAATGCTTCATTGTGAGTAAATTTGCTACCTGCAAATGTAGGTAGCAAATTTACTTGTTATTAGTTACTGTGCAGTTATGCACATGTAGACATGACCTGGAAGCAAGTTTGCACCTGGGTCAGCCCTACCACTAGGGAGCCAGTCTGAAGCTAGCCCCAGGGCTCCAGTCTGGGAGCCTCTCCTACTTCAGGTCTGGGCTGGCTCTACTACAGCCTCTGCTTTGGGCCTTTAAAAGCCTGCAGGCACTCAGAGCCCTAAGGCACATCAGCAGGGAGCCTGAGGCCACTTCAGACCCTTGTGGGCCCCTGGGCAGGCTGCAGGCCAGCTTCCCTAACCTTCTGCACCCTGGCACCACTGCCTGGAACTGCAGGGCCTCGTGGCTGCCAGGCCCATGACATCCAGGTCTGCAGGCTGCTCCAGGCTGCTGCAGTCTCCAGCCAGGTCTGCCAGGCCCAAGACCCAGCTGCAGGCAGCTTCTGGCTGCCAGGTCCACCTCCATCTGCCCACAGCCCACCTCTAGTAGGGCTGTGGGCAGATGCTACAGGGCATTGCCTCTGTTGTGTGGCTGTCAGTCCCATGCTGGTCCTTTGCTCTGGGCACTGCAGGCAGCTGTCGAGGCCTGGAAGCATAGGGGCAGCTACATGGGGGCCCAGAGAGCTGGCACAGGACCCATGATGGCATCCTACTTTGTAGGCATACCCACACCTGTGACTACCACCCAGAGACCCAGCTAGTCCATGGAGGCAACTGGTGACTTTGTGGTGTTGTGGGGAGAGGTGAAGGTGCAGCACCAATTTGAGTGGGGTGGGTGCTCCAATGCCCACATCTATGAGGAGCTGTCAGCCCAGATGCAGGAGCAAAGGCATGACTTGTCAGGGTGGCAGTGCCAGATAAAGATCAAGGCCTTGCAGACACAGTGGGTTGCCCTTTTTGTGGCAACTGATAGACATACTCATGCCCTGGGACCCAAGTTGCAGCTGTGCTGTCTATAGGAGTATAAGCAGCCTGCCCAATCTCCCTTCCTGGCCTGGTACCCCTGGTAACACACCACCAGGGGAGGGTGCTTTGGGTGTCCAGTAGCCCAACCTGCCAAGCTCCCTGGCTGCACCCTCCATCAGCAGTTTGGGAAGCCCAGGCCAGTGCCTGCTGCACCAGCTCTGCAGCCCCAGCCCCTGCTATGAGGTGTGGCTGACTATGACACTGCTTGGCAGTCAGCTGTGTCCCTGTGGATGCACAGGATCCACCAGAGAAAGACTCTGGACAGGACCCTTGTCCTGGACCGCTTGGTCACAGCGTTGGAGGACCAGCTGGTGCAAGCTTGGGCCTGGTGGCTGGAGGACATGGCCTGCCAGGATGTGGACCACCAGGACAGATGGTGGGTGGAGGTAGTTGCTTATGAGGAGACATGGTACCAGCATGAGGAGGCCCGGGACCAGTGTGAGGCAGACTGGGAGTTCTGGGTGCAGTTCCCGAATCAGGAGTGCAAGTGGGTGGAGGCCCTGTGGGAATAGAACTCCACCCTGGCCCAGGCAGTACAGGCTATGGATGATGACTGCTGGGTGAGAGACACCATTCTGGCCCTGGCAACCACCTTTGTGCCACCCACTGCATGACTCCTGACCCTAGCCTCACCTTCATCGTAGCAACCACACACTGCCCAGCAGCAGGCCCCTGCTTGGGCCTGGGAGGGGGTCCTGCACCGCCTCCAGCAGCAGGATCCCCTGGCTCAGCCCCCACCCTGGGCCCAGCCTGAGCCCAGCCCCACCACTCACCCCACCTCCACATGAGTGTGGAGCCAGAGTTCCTGTAGCAGGGCCAGGACAGCATGCTGGCTGCCAGAGGGGGAGCCACTTGAACTGGTGGAGCATCAGCTGCTATCGCCTCTGGATAAGCCCTCCATCCATCACACTCACCATAGCATGTGCATGCATGGGGGAGTGGCCAGGGGCTGGGGTACTGGCCACCTGTCTCCAGGATCTGTCCCTTAGTTGCCCCCACCCCACAGCCCTCACAGCCCCCCAACCTGGGATGACACACAAAGGATCTTGTACATAGTTTTCATGGGGAAGAAGGTACTTTATTGTTGGTGCATGGGGTAGGTGGTGGAGGGGCTCTGTTTGTTGGGAAGAGGGCTCTGGTTGATTTGAGGGGAATAAAAACTTGTTCTTGTGAGATGTGCCTGCAGTGAGCATGGTTCTGGGGGTGGGTGGGGGGGATGCAGGGTCTGTAGTCAGCAGTGCAGGAAGGCTAGAGTGGGGAGTGCTCGAGGAGGTGGTCAGCTAATGCCTCCTGTAACTGGTGCTCTGGCCACCTCTGGGGCCTCGCCAGGGGGAGGGGGTAGGGCACTGCTGCCACCATAGGTGGTGCTTCTGCTACCTGGTGTCCATGCACTGAGCCTCCTCCATCTAGGCTTCACAGAACAGCTCTCCCTCACAGATGTTATGCAGCACAGACTGCAATGATGACATGGAAGAGGTTGTCCTTGGTGAACTTGAGGTGGTCAGTAAGGGTGCACCAGTGGCCCTTGATGCAGCTGAAGGTACACTCCACCAGGGGATGGGTCTAGCCCAGGCACCAGTAGAAGTGAGCCTGGCGGGGTCCAGGTGGCTGGTATAGGGCTGTATGAGCCAGGGCAGGAGCAGGTATGAGGAGTCCTTGATGAGGAGGGATGGGACCACCACGGCACCCAGCTGCAGGTACAGCACCCCAAGCATGAAGCACCCACTATCCACCAGGCCCAGCAGGGTGGAGTTCTGCAAAGACTCGGTGATGGCATCCTGGAGCCTATTATCAGTGTCTCTGCTGGGGACTGGCCAAACAGATGGGGTGGAAGCGGCAGGTGTGCGGTGGTCGCCCTGGGATGGCACATGGCAGGTGGTCACTGTGCAATGGGGAAACCAGGAGGGGCGAGATCACTGTGGGCCAGGTAGTGGTTGTTACAGCGGGCCAGCAGGGCCAGTGAGGCAGCCAACAGGAGTGCGGGGCACTGGTCATCACCGTCAGGGGCAGGGGCTGGAGGAGCCACAGCACAGGGAGGCACAGGCATGGAGGAGAATGCTGCCACATACTGTTCCTGTACTGGGTATGCTGCTCCTGGCCAGGGAGCGGCTAGCCAGAGAGCAGCAAGCTGGGCTGGCTTTTGAAGAGGGCTGCTGGCTGCTGGCAGCTGCAGCCAGAGCCTGGAGCTTCCCCTGGTGGTTTCAGGGGGCCATTGCAGGGCCCTGGGAATCAGGAGCAGATTAGCAGCAAATCTGCTCCCACTTCCCTGCACATGTAGACATTTGCCTGAAATGAATACCACTTCAAATGCACATGTAGATGCACTCTCTGGTTGCCCTCTTCCTGACAGACTTTGCTTGATCCCACCTTGGTAGCTGAGTAGAGACAGAGGACTTTTTATGGGCATGGGTCCTTTGCACGAGCCAAGGGAAAAATTAAATCTGCCCTAACCCTTACAACTGTAGGCCTTGATGCTCTCACTTTAAGATATGCCAAGGACAGCATCTACCTGAGATGAACATGGTACAACATTATGATGATGGCAACAAGATGCATTTTGAATCATCCTTGATAGCTTATGCTTGTAGATCATAGGAGTCATGGATGATTCTTTCACTTCAGCGATGTGCAGGAAATATACCGTGGACCAAGCCACCAGCTAGGAGATCATGCTGGCTGCTGTTATCTATTACTGGGTGCACACACATGACAAATCTTACATTAAGAGGTAAAGTGGGGGAAGGTTAATAGCTCTTGTTGATTAATGTCTCTTTTCAGAAAGTAGCAATTACAATAAATAACTGAATGCAGAGACATGGTTTGTTACAGTGACCTCAAGATGCTATTTTCCAACAGGCTTAAGGCCAAAAAAAGAAAAAAACCAAGAAAACTTTCAAATGAATTAATGCTTCTCCCATTGGCATTAGTATATGCATCATTAGCAGGCAAGGGATCCTGATATGAGATGCACAGTCCCAGCCAGAGGGAAGTTAGAGGAGTTAAATATTATACTAATACTTATTACATATTAAGTTACTGCAATAAAATGACAGTTTACAATGAATATACATTAACTCAGTCAGCAAACAATGATACTCACAGATGAATTCAAGTTAGCTCTAGTAGATAAAGGCAGTCAATAATTCTTGAACTCTGGTTTTATTTTTTAAATTTTAAATGTCCAGGATTCCTGTTATAATAGTTATTTCTTGTGGTGCACTTTGTTACTAGAATGAAGGAGTTCCTAAGCTAAGGCTGAAGTCTGCCCTGGGATCCTGCCCTGGGAGAGAGGACTGAAGATCAAAATAACTGCAGATGCTTTGGCAGTGGTTCTCTCTGTTCACCCCAACTCTTACTCCTGCTGGCTGATAATAAATAAGCTTCTTATTTATCCTTATAATATCCTTATCCTTATAATAAGGATTTCTGTTTAATAGCCAGTTGAGAGAAATTTTTTCACAAGAATAGCCCTTTAAAATCCCTTTTTGCCTTCAGGAAAATAGTGCCTGCTTTACAGGTGCTCAGTATTATTTGGTGGAATTCACCCGGTAAAGCTGGCAGAATTTTAAAGAGCCTGGAGAACGCTACAAAATAACATCTCTGACTATCGGTTAGAGTTTTCAGCTAAATCCCTGCATTTAGCCCTATTCACACTCCTGTATCTGACTTCCTCAGACATACTTGTGATTCAGTTTTGCTGAGAGAAACGTCTACCCTGCTCCCCTCCCCTCCCCAAAAAAGGAAAGAAAGAAAAACAGAGAAATATTCACATGGCCACACATATGAGTTATTTGCTAAACTCAATTTCAAATTCCCATATGTGAGTATTAATGACAAAAATTCTTGCATGACAATCCAGTAAGGGAACAAGGACAACATCATATGACTGATTTGATTATTTGTGATCAATCCATAACATTTTAAAACTATATGCTGAATATTTTTTATGAAACAAGAAAATGGTTGATCTGGTTGTATGTATTTTATAAGCAGAAAAATGGGCTAAATTGATCAGATAATTTGTAGTTCATTACTGATTCAGTACTGTTCAGTAATTTCTACTTGTGTCCCACTAGGTGGCACATTTGTTATCTTTTGTTTCCCGCTACAATATGCCTGAGGAAGAGCAGAGTTTGTGCCTCATTAACCTATGTTGTCATTAAACTATGTTTAATGATGCTTTAGTGAGTGGAATTTTTCCTGAAATGAAAAGGTTATATTTCATTTACTATAGCATGAGGTGTGTCTAAATTTCCCCCTAATTTTTGTAACTGGAACATATTAATGCAAATGTCCTAAACTGTTGAGTATGGAGAATTATTATCTACCATTTACATAATGGCAGCACCTAGAAACCCTTGCCAGGTTGAGCATGTTGCTGTACCTACCTATACTGAACATTAGTGTCTTTTCAAGACAGATTATAGTCTATAAAAGCAAGACATTATGAATAAATAAGAAAAATAAAACCAAATATACAAGTGGGTAGAGACGGTTAGAAAAATAGAAATAATCACATGTTTCAGCATACATTAGCTGTGTGCAAAACTCCTAGACACTCAATAGCATGACATGCAGGCTGATTTTAAAGAAGGACTTGAAAAAAGAGGCTGTGATTTTATTGTTTGTGACTGCAAACTCTTCCCGTTTGCACAGGTTATTAATGTAAAAGTAAAAGGGCCTTGGAGAGAGAAATAAAGGGGAATTGCCATATTTAGTTGAATATAGGATGACCCCTCCAATAATTAGATTCTATATATGAAAATTGTATACATTTGTTATAATTTACCAGATATAGAATCTAATTATTGGAGGTTTGCTGTTAATTTGTCCCTCCCCCCACTGCTACAGCACAGAAAATAAATCTGGGGGGTCAGATGGGTGCCCCTTTCTCTCTGCCCCCCTCAACTTCTTCCCCCTGCAGGCCCTTTCCCCCTCCTAATTGTTAGACCCTGATCTCCCTGAGCACATGGAAGTGAGGAGTAAAACTGAAAACACTGACAAATTACTACAGGTACCCATTGACTTAGTTTATCCTGAATTTATGTGATTTCGTTTTTTGAATCTCCTGCAACTTTTAGCACAGGTACTCCATAAATACACTTTTAAGCAGTGTTTTTGTACCTACTTATATATAGTATAAACTACACCTTTTTTGTTTAATAATTTTCTGTCTCAGGCCAAATTACCCAAATTGGTTTTAAATTCTATCACCTGAGCAGAGCTCAGTTGTTCAAGCCTGGGTCGCGCTACCACTGGCAAGTATCCTACCTTCCAGACTTTTTTAGCCTGCGGCTTCAAGTCAAGTCAAGTCAGTCCTGAGGTCGCTGTGACCATTGAGGCACCTTAGATGCTGTAACAAGCCTCTTCCACTCTGCCCTGTATTTGGCTAGCTTTGTTCATGGCTTCAGATATTCCCAAATCTATGGCAGGCATCCTACATGCAAGCCCCAAGCCTGGAGGCCCTGGTTTTCAGATGCCCCCTAGTCTTGCTTGTTCCTGGGCAAGAGAAATCCTCCATCCCCATATATCCATCCCCATGAATTGTATAGCCAAGATCCATAACAGACTCTCATAGGTGCCTGCCCACAGTGCAATTGACAAGCCTCCACCTTCAACTACATGGTTGTCCTGCTTGCTCCTAGCTGCATGGTTGCTCCTTGCTGCTAGTCTTGCTTCCTCCAAGCAATTTTTTTAAAATTTATTGTCTCAAACCAAATTAGCCAACTCAGTTCCAAATTCTATCAATTGATCGAGTCTGTGTGGGAAAGTATCTGTAGAGTTAACAGCATTTCAAGCCATGGTGACCCCATAAATCAGCACTGCTTAGTATGTGTGTGTACTCCAGATACCTCCTGCAAAGTATCTATGTGCTAATTACCCTCCCCCACCTCTCAAGGACTGGAACTGAGTGTTCTTCTCACAAGTCTGGGGATGCTTCAAAAATTTATATGCAGATGAGTTGTAGGGCAACCTGGTCTGGCTCCACCTCATGGAGGCAGGGCCACACTAATCATATGAGCCAGGCTGAGAGAGAAGGTGACAGAGAAATTTCAGGTGAACTGTTTAGGGCCCTGTTTAGTAATGTTTGCTAGATATTTTAGTCTGGTGAAAAAAACAGGAATCACGGGAAATTGGAAAAAATGGCATAGCTCAGCTGTGGGAGTGAAGAGGAAGTTGAAGTATATGCAGTATAGTTGCTCACCATGATATGAAAAAAGAATCAGTGCTGAGGGGAACTGAGTACATTGGGCATTACCATATATCTTATTCAAATGGGCTGCATTATCTTATCCTTGTTTGCTCAATTGTACAGATGCACAGAGCTTGAGGAAACAGACTGTGTTAAAAAGTTTCTGAGTGAACTTCAGTCCTACTACCAGAAAGCAGTGGGAGAGGACAGAGAAGACTCAGCTAACTCCACCTAGAAAAGGGGCATTTGGTATAAGCTGTTCAAAGGCCCCTCGAAGGGGAAGTGTACAGGAAGAACAAAAAGGACAATGATGCAACTGGACCCAGACACAGTGAGGAAGACAGCAACAGGATCATCATCAGCAGAAGTGACAGTGACATCGACAGCAAAAAGGACAGTAAATGTACTGAGAATGTAAACCCCAAATCTGGGCTTGGACTAAGGGACTGCAATTAGGTTAGCAAAGGGCAGCGGATGGGTGAGCAGGGGTGCAGGGGTGTGGGTGCATTTATTGTAACAGGTGTGTGGTTTCTTAATGTGGTCTAAGGTGTGTGATGGAAAATTTTATGCTAGATGATGATATATATATATATTTTAAATTTTTTTAAAGTTTGCTCAATTTTTAATGGTTGGTGTTGGCTACATTTAATCAGCTTCATAGTTGGTTTTCATTACTAAGCATGTGCTATTTTTGGCAGTTTGATAGACATTGTATTTTATTTGGTCTTTGTATGCAAATATAAGACACAGGTCTTTTTTTTTTTTCCTCATGCTGATTGAGAAAAAAATCTCATCTTGTATTTGAGTAAATATAATAACACAGAGAAAGCTTAAAAAAAACTCCACAGGACAGATTCTATTCCCATGCCCTTAATGTGCCTTAAAAATGGCTAATGCACCTTAAACTGGCATGTGTACACATGCCCATAGACTGGTAAAAACTGAAGTGAACTGTGAAGAAGGACATTGCAAAATTGAACAAATGGACAATGAAATGGCAGATGAAATTCAGTGCTGGTAAGCTCAAAGTGATGCACATAGGGAAAAATAAGCCAAAACTATGCAAACATGATTATGAGCTCTATATTAACTGTTAGTACAGAGATAAGGTCTTGGAGACATTGTGGATGGTTCACAAAAACAGCAACTCAGTGTTCAGCAGCAGTCAAAAAGGCAGATAAAATGCTAGGAATTGTAAAGAATGGAATTGTAAACCAGGCAGTGGCTTTATAAATCTTTGCCTCTTTATAAATCTACAAGCCAACTGCCCATCAAGAATGATGGGGTGGGGGGAGAAGTGGGCAGGAATGGAGCCCTGTATCCCGCCCTCCCAGGCCCACTCCCCTCTTCCCTCTTGCTGCTTGCGGTCTGGGCCCGCTTCCTCCCATCCCACTGCAGGAGTGGGGGGAGGGAAGTACTGGGCCCAGACCCAATGCAGGGAAGGACCGGGCCTGAGGGTGGGGAGAAGCTGGGCTACCACAGCAGGGGTGGAGCAGTGGGTACAGGTTGACCTGGCAGTGGTGGGGGTATGGGAGGAGCGGTCTCAGGGCTGAGGCGGGGGAGAGGTGGTGGGAGAGAAGTAGGCCCAGACCCAAGGAGGGGGGAGACCTGCTCCTCCCCTCCCCCAGCCTCTGCCACATAAGGCCAGGCCCGCTGCTCTCTCCACAATGCCGCAGTGGGCCAGCTTCTTTCCCCACTCAGGCTTGCTCCCCACCACTGCATCAGGGCTGGGCCCACTCCTCCCCTCCCCTCCCCTCACTGCCACTGCCACCACTGTGGTGGATCTGCTCCTCTCCCCACCACTGCTGAATCAGCCCTGCAGGTGGCAACAACAGAAGTTGTGAGGGGCTGGCCAAGGCTAGCACCGGTGGCCTCACCCTCCCCATGGAGTCCTGACCCCACTCCCCCACCACGCTGCTGCCACTACTGTCACCTCCAAGGAGCAAGGGAGGGTTCGAGGACAACTGTGTTGGCCTTGCCCCCCCCACTCCATTGTTGCCACTGCAGGGAGCAGAGCAAGGGGGGTATTCCATTTGCTCTGTTGCTACTGCAACAGAGCAGCAGCAGACATGTCACCAAGGCAGTGCGGGGTGAGCACCTTCTCTGCGTGGCCCCGCTGTTCCCTGCTTCCATGCCCCACATGCCTCCACAGCCTGGCAGGCATGATCCAGTGCAGCAGGGAGCTAGTAGACTCTCCGCACAGTCCTGCTGTTCCCACCTGCCCCGGGTCATGCCTGCTGGGCTGGAGAGGCACCCGAGGCAGGGAAGCAGGATGGCAAGAAATGGCAGCTGCTTGTCCTGCACTGTTCTGGAGACACGACTACTATGCCTGCTGCTGTTTGAGGGGCACAGCCTCACACCACAGGAGGCACATGACCAGGGCAGCAAGGTGTAGGATGCTGGGACCAGGCAGGGAGAGGAACTAAGCGAGGTCCAGAATTGGGGCCAGGGCCCACTGCACCCATGCGTCTGCCCCTTCCCCTTGGAAGTGTTTGCAGCAGCAAGGAGCTGGCCCTCCCCCTCCCTGAATGAGCTACCAGAGACCCCATCCTGCTTCCCGCTGGGGCTCTGCAGCTTCACACTGCAGCCCTGGGCCCCAGGCACCCTCCTCCCAGCTGGATAGCAGCCCCAGACCTGCCCAGTTCCCTCCCCACAGGGGCCTTGTGGTAGGAAAGACTTACCTCAACCGGGTGAGGAGTAGAGCCAGCAGGATGCCGCGCCGGAACAAAAACATGGCAAAAGTGAAACCATGGCAGGAAAAGACACCACGTTAAAACAAAAAAAAGAAAAGGAATGGCAGAGCTGGGAGGGGCCAGGGATGGTTCCCATGTCAGCATGGCATGCTTTATGGCCACGTGCCGGGGCCAATTTGCTGGCCAGCTTCCTGAGACTGGGA